CGGAGTATCTAAAAGCCGTAAACCTAACATGCCTTTACTTTCAATCCTGGATATATTTAGCTCACCTCATTATTCAATTGCTAAATCCTCATCTCAACTTTTACAACCCGTTAGAATGTAAGTTTCTAAATATGCTCTATGAGATATACCCATGTTTATTGGTTCCATATGCAATGTAAACTTATCGGATTGTGTTATGTTAACATCAGATGTTACATCATTACTCTCGAATGTTCCACCAACTGAAACAGTTCGTGCTTCATATGAGACTATGTATGGCTTATTGGCTTAGGGAGACGACTTTCAATTGATGAGTCACGGGTTCCAGCCCCCTCTCGCTCCACCTACAGAGGTTCGGGTAGCCAAATAGTATCACCAGCCCCCGTAAAATAGGCGTAGCTCATTGCTTACTGTAAGGTTGCTGAGTGTATTTCGATTTTTTTTCAATGCAACTAACATAGCTATACCGACAAAATATCTGGAAGAACTATTCTTAAGATGCACATTTCATGTGCAGTTTAGTTTTAATAACACCTTACACCGCCAGAGAGATGGGGGTGCCGATGGGGTCACCATTAGGTCCACTGTTAGCAATTATATTTATAACCAGTTATCAAGCAGTTTAAATTCTACAGATGTGTCGATAGTACATTCATCGTCTATGACAAGAACTGTGACTTGCAGGAAATACTTCGATTTTTCAATGAATGTCACTCCTCCGCCAACTTTACAATGGAGATGGAACTACAATCAAAGATACAATTCCTCAACATATGCTTAGAAAAAGATATCTAGTTATCAGAAGTCTATATGAAATGGACAAATGATAAACTTTCATAGATGGATTTACATCACCCGAAAAAGAAATTTAATCCATTCCCTTTCCTTTTGGATTCGGAAGATTCTTGCTCCGCATACTTTAGGAGATGAAATTCAACTTTTAAGATCGATGTTTATTAGAAATGAATACCCAGAGAGATAGGTAGATAAAAATCTACACCACAATGCTATCTATCGGTTTGCTATTAATACGGAGAAGAAAAAGGATATTCGAGCTTGGAATTCAATAGAGATACAGTTGATGAGATAGTAAAACGGAGACTAATAAAGACCGTCAAAAGAACATCCTATACAGCGACTCCACTATTCACCAATACTCGTCGCTCAATGGTGAACGCATGTGTGATAAACTGTCTCTGGTAGCCACCTCAATGTTCAAATATCAATTCACTTGTTCCTGTTGATCTAGGTGTATAGGCCGTATATGCACAGGCAGATTATCCAACATTGACGCCAACACCTTCCAATATGGTTCAAAAAACGTTAACATAGACGAAATAACAGTTTCATATAACATGTGGTTGGCAGCGGACACACAATTCCAGATTCGTTTGCACTAGTCTACAAAGTCCAACATAATCTTTTGAAGAGTATGACGAAACGTTTACTTTGTATTGCTGAGTTTCGGACAATAAAACAACCGAAACCGTAATTGTGTATCCAAAAGTAATTTTGCCATTCACTATCCTTATTCATTTCCTAATTCTTAAACTTTCAGTTCCTAATTTGAGGTAGTACTAATCACGGAGTGACATCAGTTGTGGAACCACTGAAAATCAGGGAGCACTGGACAGCTGTTCCGTCTCAGTATGGGACTCCTCAGCAGTAAGCACCCACAACCCGGCTAAGGACCGAACTCAGGACCCTCGGGTTTCACGGCGAACGTGTTAACCATGCCATCTGGTTACCGAACTGATATTAGTCCGTGATGAATACTTCCTCTAAAGTAAAATCCGCATTCATCTCAAAAATACATTATTGTATAGTAATCACTAGTGACATGCTTCCAGATGGATATCACGAAGATCTAATGAGAAGTTGTGACCTATGGGGTCAACCAGTCGGAAAGGAAGCGAATGCCAACTGAAGACCTTTGGTGATAGTCGCGCTATGTCGTGAATCGACAGACGTTGGAAACTGTGAACCACTGAAGACTGACCCAGTGGCTGAATGGTTAAGGCGTATTCAGAAGTAATTTTCTCACTCACTGTCCTTATTCATTTCCTAATTCTTAAACTTTCAGTTCTTAAGCCTAACTGATCTGTTAATTTTCATATTGTTATTACGATTTTCGCTAAGCCCAGATAAAAAATTTCTAATTCCCTTATTCACTAAAAACTATCTACTCAGTTTGTTATGAATTCTTTACATCTTGATTTTAACTGATAATTCTTATGTAATCTCCATTATCATTTTGACTATTTGAGATAGCCGTGATTTGACAGACTAGTACTGATATTAGATGATTGAAGGTGGAATGAAAATTTGGACCGCGGTTGGATTCCAACCAGCGACCACCGGGTTTCCTGCCCGATGCTCTATCAACTAAACTACGAGGTCCGACTGCTGACCAGATCTCTTTTTATATTTCCCTTCAATCACTAAGGGTTTTGCCCGACTACTATACGAATTCGTGACGTGTTACTATTGCTTGATCGTAATCACACTGGCTGCCTTGCAGTCACGACTTCTCATCCCAATCCAAATCTAACTGAATTAGAGAGGGGGAACATCATATCGATTATCATTTTGACTATCTGAGTGAGATATCCGTAGTTTGGCAGACTATTGTTTATACTGGGGTGATGATTGAAGGTGAAATGAAAATTTGGATCCCGGCCAGATTCGAACCAGTGACCACCGGGTTTTCGATCTGGTTAAAAAGTACTAGTCTGTCAAACTACGGCTATCTCACTCAAATAGCCAAAATGATAATCAATATGATTCTTTTCCTCTCTAATTCAAGTAGATTCAGATTGGGATAAGAAGTCCTGACTAGGCAGCCACTATGAATACAAACAAGCGGCAGTAACGCGTCACGAATTCACAAGGTAGTCGGAGAAAAACTTATGGTGATTGAAGTGAAATAAAAATCTAGTCAGCAGTCGGACGTCGTAATTTCCATTCCTAAATATTATTGTCACGGTCACAAACTACCAAGGATTATATTTAAATAAATACGATTGTACAGCTGCAGAGGGTGATATCTACGAAAACAAATTTGTCCACTCAAGTCTCTATTCTTTTGATGCACACACACATTACATACATACACACACACACTAAGCATACAGAAAAAGTGAGACTTCATCAAGCCGTCTATACTCTAGCCAACCTCACTGAGATTCACTTCATTTTAGTTCACTCAGTCATCTAATCGGATTATGTGTATCATAATATAATAATATGTAATTAAATACTACCATATCATTTCCTATAAACATATGATATTTCATTTCATTCTGATCAAGGTACTGACATCCTATACAAGTATACTAATAAATGAAATCTTATCTTCAGAGATTAATGAGAGATCACTCATGCACAACCACACCCAAATAAATTCCAGAAAACGTATATAACAAAACAAGAGAAACAACATTTTGCATTGATTTCAGATTGGTATTCATCACAGGCCGACACTAGTTGGAGGAACACTGGAAACCTGGAAGCACTGGATAGCTGTTTCGTCTCAGTGCTCCTTAGCGGTTCACACTCATAACCCTACCAGGGACCAACCTCACAATTTTCAGGTTCCATAGACCTGGCTGCGTCATGGATGCGTGTTACTCAAAAGTCCCATGCCAGGATGAAGCGGCTATTCAGCGCTCTCAGGTTGCCAACATTCCTCCAACTGATGTCAGTCCACGATGAATAGCAACCTGAAATCAATTAATAAATCTCTACAAACTTCTAAATTGAACACTGTACATTACAGATGTTTCAAATAATGATAAGTGAGTTGTTTTCAGCATAAATGAGTAAATATTCAGTAGTTCTACACTATATGGTAACATGTATGCAAGAAAAATATCAGAGAGAAATTTTGCGTAGAATTTTCAACAAGATTGAAATTAGGTGGCATTCTTACAAAGTCAATCATCAGGTATGAAATTTGTTGGCTTAAGAATTCTATTGATTTGATTAGACGAAATTTGATCTACCAAATATTATGCAATTATAGTGAGATCAAATACATACATCAAATCAAATAAATGAGGTCAGTTAGATTGTCAGATCATGGGACATTATTTGAACTGAGAATGTTAGAACCCAGTAAGATCAATAGTCTCAACAACAACAAAAAATCCAGCCATTGAGATCGATCCTGAGCCGAATCACGAAAAGTATACAACCATCGATTTCCGGTAAATCTAATTCAGCCGACATTCTATAACGAGGCAGATGGTAACTAGGCATGCATAACACATATCCGATTCATCTCAACCAACAAAGATTCACAACTTAACAGCCTGACTTTCCTCTTTTCCTTGAAATTCTACACCTGACTTCTGCATTTGTTGGTCCACAAAACACATCCTGTGCTACAAAGGCAACAGTGGATGAAAACCTCAAGCTTCATATCCTCTCCTCTAGAACACAGTGAATTGCAGAGCGGTACACCCGAATTTTAACAGACGATCAAATTTCACTACAGCGCCCTAAATGGGGTAAGTTTGAGAAAGATAAACGATCCTTTTGTATCCAGAAAGAATTTTCCTCGATCACTAACCCACCGAGGTTGATCTGACTTCATACGTAAGTAAGGTGGTCAACAAATTTAGCCGCTTCCTTCTCTAGTGTTAAACCATGCATCAGTGAAGATCAGTAATGGAGCAACAATTCGTGCTTGTGTGACATGACAAGCATCTCAAACATTCTCGAATCGCTATTCAGTATATCTAATAGACTCTCCATATTGTTACGATCTTCACCTTGCTCTTGCTTGCTTTACCCAATGGAGTGGACAAAACAAACAAACCACCTTATTAGGGCAGTCAACCATGAGTAGATTTATATACTTAATTGTGTAAGTCAAAATTATATATATCCAGGATTTTATGTGACTATCAAAGTGGGAGGTTTTGGTAATTTTATTTGATGGCTGTTGTATCATTATGGAATGTATCAACAGAACACGAGTAAATTATTCAACTTACCATGAGCACTAACGCCAATGGACCCAAATAAATCAAAAGCGCGAAAGATGAGATGAGAAGAATAGCAGTAAATAATCGTACAGTCCAGTTTACCCAACGTGGTGGAAGGAAATTGTTCAGAAAACTGATTGCTGGAGGCACATGACCTGTACCTTGCTGTAGTTTCTCAGCAGCCTGAAGATCGGGTGTGATTGAGTCAATCGGTTCATCATCATCTTCATCGCTTGTCTGCCTTTTGGAATTTGAAGGTTCATCCTGTGCAGTATTCTGTTCATCTGCAACACTGACCTGATAGGTTAAAAATTCAAAAAAGATGGATAAAGGCTATTAAATTTACTTGCAGTTTTAGGCTCTGATAACGAGAAACACTGGTATATATTCGAAAGAACGTAATGTACATTCAGGTATGCTATCTAATCCATCTTACAGTAAATCTGTTGAGTAACCAACAGGAGATGGGTTGGAAGACGAAGAATCAGAAACAAACTGTCTCGATTTTGTGGGAAGCTGAAGAGAGGCAACTTGCAAAACAAGAAGCATATCAAAATGAAATGAAATACAATTCAACGAAACGCTAGACAAAATCAACGCAGAACTTAGCACACAAGTGAACCGGCTCACGTCGCCATACTTCACAGTAGTGCACAAAGAATAGATGGACAGAACGAGATAGAGATATCAAATTAGACGAAGTTATGTGACAGAATAAACAGTCTGAAAATAATATAGGTGTAAAACTTGGGCACTGTGGTAGAATCTAATTCCATATGGAGTCTGAAGATAGATGTTAGTGCAGAAATTCAAGCTCTAGATGTCAAGGAGTAAATATATATGCACCACTGTGACCGATTCCTTTCTCTCGCCTACTCTAAACCAGGTGGTCATCATCTCCACACGACTTACACCAACGCAAAGAGACTTCACCAAGTGGTGCAACGTCTTAGTCTAGCCACCCTGAACCCTCTTCCAGCTTCCTCTAGCATGGCACATCAAAGCAGGTAGTGGCTCAGTGTGCACAGTGTATGTCCAGGCTGTCTCAGTCAACTAAGGTTCATGACCTCACCAATAGACTTGCCTGCCTTTCTTGCCTAGTACCCTTCGCCTGACCTCAATATTGCCCGCATAGTGATTCGACCAAACCTCAGTAGTGATACGAAGATACCTGTGATCAAAATCTTGTGACCGCTTAAAGTCTCCTATTTTTAACGGCCATGTCTTACAGTCGTATAACAGGACAGAAAGTACTGAAGAGCAATATACCTGTCCTTTGACATAGACATTTTGCCAGTCGGCACCACAGATTATGCAAGTTAGCAAATGCCAAACGGACCTTCTATATCCCCGTTGAAATTTCCTCAGCAATCAACCCGTTTCATTTTTCATTCAGTGAAAAGCGAATAAGTTAAGAATAACGAGTTCTACATTTAGAGGAGGATAGACAACAAATTCACCTGCACGGAAAAGATCAACTATGTACCCTTTCATTTAACACTAACAATATGGTTTTTTATTACGCTAAGAAACACAAAACAAGCTTACAGTAGTACTGAACGATCTGCACTAACTGTCAAAACCCCCCACATGGAAAAATCACTCTGAATCTTTGTCCGACATACTTATATTCTATATGATTTATGTTAGTCGAATGGGAACGTGCAGAGCGTACCCCAAATATACCATACTGCCTTAAAAGCGAAATTAGTTAGAATCCAGCCAATTAATGCAGATCATAACTAAATATCTAAAACCCTAGGCAAATAACTTTTCAACTTCAGTGAGTGCGCAGTATATAAACGGTGAACTCTTCCACTGAAGTAAGATGTACTCCTGAATTATAATGGGTTTTCATAAGTATACCACTACTTGACCTCTACATGACAGAAAAGGACTTTGTAATGAACCATCAGCCCTAATGGTTGCGATGGGCAGTTAACACGAGAATGATAGCACCCGAATGTATTTCATACCTCACCTAAGTTGTAGATTGTAATATGTTAGAGGAACAAACTAAGAAGCTAAAGACATTGATTTACAGTATGCGTACAACAAACTTAAGAGAAGCAACTAGAACACATCATAATGCAGTTCATTTAAGACTTTTACCAACAAAGTCAGTATCCCTAAGCTCTTTGGTGACCTTAAACTGGAAAAGTGCAACCCAGAAGAAACTAATATTGAAACCGAGAAAGACTCAGGCATTTGATAAATCCTAATACTGTGCACCACGCAGCTACACTTTTGTACTACTGTTTTGGTTATGATGATATGTATATCTTTCCTCACTACTTAAGCAGAGATCTACTGTCCGTTGGTTTCGCTATATTTTGCAAATTAAGAAACAAGTAAGATATGTGGACTGAGTTTCATCAGTTATGCATGTAGAAATCAGACTCCTATATCCAGTTAGCTACTGAACTAAAAGTTTGTTGTTTGGACGATTTGAGAATTTGATACGACTCCTTACTAAATAGTCACTGCGTTTTGAAGTTAAGTGCTGGTATATGTTGTGCCCAAGACATAAAATCACAAACCCTTTTGATCCATACCACAAGCAAACCTACATGTACATGTCACTTTGGCAAACCAACCTGAAAAAGTAGTACTGGATATGGTTAGCCTACGGCGAATTTTCTCCTCAATTTTCTCTCAATGAAAATCCTAAGACAATTATAAACATGCAGACCATAGCTGATACGAATATCTATAAACAATGTGAGCACTGAGGTTGATTTGTTCATCATAAAAACAAATGTGAATATAATCCCAGTGCGTTCAGCAAAATCTTGTTTTGATTTTCTAAATACCCTGGGATTACATTAAAACTCTTTTTTAGTCCTTAAGACGAGCTATGAAAAAGTGGAAATAACGAAAAAATAACATCCGGAAAATGACTTCATAATAATACACGTGATGTTTTTACTACATATCAACAAACTGCTCAACTTTCCTACAAGACACATTCGGACTGTTAAGTAAGCTTATTGGCTTAGGCATTTGAACTAAATGCCTAATTCGGCTTAATGCGGTTAAGGTAAGCACGTAGCTATGGTTTATGGTAAAGTAAACAAACCTGTGAAGGGTTATGTGCTTTTACATAACTGCTGATTTATCCCACTTTTCAAAGTGGACCCACTGAAAGTTGTAGACAGATTCATTAGCCTGAATAACGCTGGTCGATGTATTACCGGGATCTGAGAAGGGTGTGACACCTCAAACCACATATAACATTTGTGTAATGCAAGTTTTGTCATCAGCAATTAAGATGCATTAAGATGTTCAGTGTTTATCAGTATCCACTACACAAAAATCAGATATCAGACTCAACAACGAAGCATAGGCTGATAAACTGAGTTCTGAAGTAAGCAGAGGGAATCATACTTATTATGTAACAACTAGTGATGCCATTATAAGAGTACATTTCAATAGAATCCCAGCGTATTTAGAAAATCAAAACAAGATTTTTCCGAATATTTCAGTTACTGCAGCAGAATATTCGGATTTCTTACTAACATCAAAATATATAGTTAAATAGTACATCAAATATTTAGTGTATGTGGGTCATTGGTGATGTGGTTTAATGTTCAGACTGAGCAGTTATGATTAGTCACTACTCAATTTGAACAACAAAGTACAAAACCAATGACCTACATACACTAAATATTTGACAATATATTTTGATGTTGATAAAAAAAATTCGAATACTCTGCTGCAGAAGTTGTGGCTTACTTAGTGAGACGTTGAGAAATATCTAGTTTTAATTCTCTAAACACACTGAGATTATATTAAAATATACTCTTATAATGATCAAATCAGACTCAGCGATCAACTTCCGGGATATTCGTAACCAGCAATACCACCTGGCTAGAAAAAAATCCTCATAAATGAAGCGTCTCCCCCATCTAACGTATTGGTTTGACTCTATCCGCTTAATTTAATGAGCCATAAATTCTTTAAGAGGCCTACATTTAGTCCTTACAACACTCCCAACGAATACAGTATCTTCTTGGTGTAGACGAAAGGCAAACATTACCGGCTAGAATTACAGAGAGTAAGCATACCAATTTGACTTTTTAAAAAATATAGACCATTTAAAGTTTTCATCTCTACTTCATATCGTCGATGAAAATATAAGATATAACGTCTCCAGACGAATAAAATAAACTGTAGCTCCAAGTGCACTTTCAAAGTACCACATCTATGTATCGTTGATAAACAACCTATATTCACACAAGATAATAGATGAATGACTTGTATCGAAGAGAATAACAAAGCTGCCTCAGCAATAAAAATTCCAAGTGCCAATTAGACTAGACCTTTCACAGCCATAGATACTCATCTAAGTAAGATTGCGGTAATTAGGTAATAAAAATGTAATGTAGCTAAATAACCCAACACAAGTTCAGATACTAAATATACGCCTAATTAGCATCATTTTGCTAACCCTCTCCGCCCTCCAAGACCAAGGTGTATAAGATAGTCTGGGTCAACTATATTGCAGTTAATAAAGGGCTATCGCAACAACTGGTGCCTCATCATGCAAAACAACCAGATATGCTACCTCACAAAACCCGATACATTTTCCTAACATAATGACAGTAAATACGAGTATATTTTGAAGTATGGGCGATTATAGGACCGAAATTAAGTCCTTAAACCAAATTAGTCAATGTATTCATGCATTTGATTATACACCACTTACTGTTCTCTGTTTCACAACTTGGTCATCGCCAATCATTATCAGCCAGTACCAAAGTTGTAAACCAAGTAGGGATAGGTCTAGCCCAGTCTTTTAATCGAATTTCTACAGTGAATGTAACGTTTGAAGACCTGTACAAGGAAGATGTGTAGCAGATACAAACCTAGAAAAGTAGAAACTGAAAAATCATAAACTTAATCTCCGTTTAGAAAAATGCTGTGAGAACTTTATTTCTACTGGAGTACAACAAATCTGCAACTGACATAATACTGATACAGGTTTACAGATTTCTACAGCAATTAACACATCACTGCTGACAATTTGAAATGAGCTATGAAGTAACTAAAAAGCTACCAAAAGACTGCTTTGGAGAGAAACCGTTATCAATAGATGTTACACTTTGAGCGACAGTCTACATGAAACTGGAGTTGCGTTTACCTCTACCTCATGAACAAATTCGTTAAATAGCAAGTTTTTCATCGGTCAATCTATCAAGCAACTGTAAGGGATGGAGTGAACTTATTGGGAAAAATCAAAACTGAGTGTTCAAACCTCTGCATAAACAGGATACTGCTGAGTAAAATATGCCTATGGTTTAGCTGTTTGACATTTGGTTGCATGCCTGCTAGAAATTCCATTTCCACTCACCGCAGAGAATACTAGCGTACCAATCATTATAATTGATTAGAGTTCCAAATCTTACTCATGTTTAGAAAATTCGGCAAGCCATCACTTTTCGTGTGACAGAATAAGGGTCACTAAAGTTCTTTCGGTGGCTCAAAAAAGTATTACGTAGAATTCACGCCGTTAATGGTTTACAAAATTATTCCTAAATAGTTTCGAAGAATACAATTTGTTAGTATTACCATCTTTGTAGATTATGTCCGGAAATAAATTCTCATATGACTTGAGACCTATGGTTTACTCACAAGTTCAATCTTAGCATTCTTCATATGCCAGAACTTGAATTAATACATACCACTGTATTACATCAGGTAAATTCGATTTTTGTGTACCAGCTGTGTAGTATCCGGAGGCATAGTTTGCTCAACTCAATTTTAGGGTATAGTTTAATAATCACATCGGGTAGGCTATCTAATGCTGTCTATTTTTACATCCTGGTTAAGACGAAGTGAATATGACCAAAATATTGGATAACCCCGTGATACTCATTCTGTGCAGATTGGGTTAGGGTGAATACCGTTTCTAGATCATTATCCTTTTCTATCAATGTGAAGTCTTGAAGGTATCCTTACCAACAATGGACTGGATGGTTTGAAAAACTTGGGAACCGAGTTAGTATGATTCATTGTATAGGATGTATTTTCACTTGTGTAATCCCGGCGTAGTATATTAGAACAAATAACAAAATAAACAAATATTTTGTATTATTCCTCAACGTTTCGATCTTGATAGGAAGATCCTTTTCAAGAGTATGAATCTGACACTAAGTTTTCAGGTTAATATTCAAGTTTTGGTACAGAAAGTGGTGACCTTTACAATCATCCAACCACATAATTATGTGGTTGGATGACTGTAAAGGTCACCACTTTCTGTACCAAAACTTGAATATTAACCTGAAAACTTAGTGTCAGATTCATACTCTTGAAAAGGATCTTCCTATCAAGATCGAAACGTTGAGGAATAATACAAAATATTTGTTTATTTTGTTATTTGTTCTAATATACTACGCCGGGATTACACAAGTGAAAATACATCCTATACAATGAATGTGAAGTCTGACAATTATTTCCATGTCTGAAGCTGCCAAGCTTGCTTTCTGATAGAAATGACAAGTTTGGTTAATGTGAGGGACAGATATATTAATTGCCTGACAGATCAAAAAAAACTGAACAATATGCAGACAGAAGTACTTTGCAGGCCAGTTAGCATTTCTGCATACAACACAATCTGTTTCTCTATTCTTTTGTGACATCTCCCGTTTGACTATGCGCAGCCTGCCGTCAGTTTTCAGTTATAAGGATAGTAGGCCAGTTGGCCTGTAATAATCCTTGCAGAAAATATCTCTGTGAAGACCTAGTTTCTTCTTGAACGCGTCGACAGAAGGTGCTGATACTACTTGCTGAGGTAAGGAGTTCCAGACGTTGACAACACGATGGGAGAAACGCAGATTCACGCTAAGTTGATTCGATCGCGGTTTTTGAATTTTCTTGTGATGCCCTCGGAGATAGTCAGTCCTAGCAGGCGTGAAAACATAGGACATATCAGTACCGAAGTCATTATTAAGAATACGAAATGCCAATATGAGATCACTCCGTCTTCTACGGTAAGACAGTGGGAATAAGTTTAGCCGACCTAGTCGTTCCTCATAGGATATATTCGAGAGGCCTGCCATAAGCTTAGTACCTACTCTATTAACACGCTCGAGTGCGTCTGAGTCCTTTTTTAGGCACCGGCTGGCCGCCTGAATGCAGTGTTTCAAGTGAGGTCTAACGTAAATAGAATAGAGTATTCTAAACATGTCCTGATCAAAACGTTTGAAAGCTCTGCGGAAGGACCATAATATACGGAAGCCCTTTGCTGCAGCTGCATTACAGTTTGCAGAGGTTTTCAAATCATGACTAATGATGATACCCAAGTCTTTTAGTTCAAAGACTGGGAGTAGTGGTGTACCATCAACGGAATACTGGAAACAATTGCTATGACCAATGTGCATAATTACACTTTTGTTAGAGTTAGTTTCCAGGCACCAACGTTTGGACCAACCTACTAGTTCATCTAAATCCGCCTGAAGTGCATACCTATCTGGATCACTGCGTATGGCTCTCCAAATCTTTACATCATCGGCAAATAACAGTACCGAAGAGTTGAGAATTTTAGGCAATTGTTGACATATAACAAGAAAAGTGGTGGACTTAGGAGTGTTCCTTGAGGAACTCCACTCATCACAGGTTCCCACCAGGACAGTATCCCACTTACGTTTACCCTTCGCCTTTTACCGTACAAAAAGTTCCTAATCCAGGCTTGCAATGAAGCACCAAATCCGGAGGAGGAGAGCTTTCCCAGTAATTTCACATGCAAGACTGTCGAATGCCTTACTGAAGTCTATAAACACAGCATCTATTGGCAGCTTGCAATTACGGGCTGCAACCCATTCCTCTCTTACGATAAGGAGGTTAGTTGGACAGGAGTGTGCGGCACGAAAACCGTGTTGCTGTGGTGCCAAAAGATTGATTGATTCCACATGTTTAAGTACCCTGTTAGAATTATTTTTTTAAAATCATAATAACTATTTAGTTAGACTCACAAGGCGATAGTTGGACACCAAAGGAGATAACCGGTCTTAAGGACTGGGCTGATTATGGCATCTTTCCAGTCTCTAAGGGGGCGAGTCTGAGTTAGGAACCGTGATCCGTGACTGACTCAGCAATGATTCTGCTAGCGAAGATAGAAGGATGTAACTCATCGGGACCTGGGGATTTTCCATGTTTAAATGTGGCTCTTGCCATATAAAGAGGATATCTTTTGAAAGACTAGGTTCTCTTTGAAAATCTTAACATCTCTAGTGGTCCCTAACGATTATTACTTAAGCTAGCAAATACCTTACTTTTATCCACACCAAGGATTAACTATCAGACGCTTGTCAGATAAACGATTGAATAGTGAAATGAGGCGTGAAACCTTTGCAAGTATTGAGAAAGACATGTATTCAAAATTCAAAGAAATGAATGCACGATTCCAGAGAATACAGTGCGTCTAATTACAAACACAAGGAAATAATGAATTTTCTTAAGATGACTACAGGCTAAAAAGAAACATGCTTACCACCAATATTATAGGAGACAATAGTCCACAATTTTTTGTTGAGACTGAGGGCTTTTTAGTGAATGCTTCTTGAGTTAGGCTAACACAAATGTGAAGGCCAGCTTTTGTAGAACACAAGACCTCAAAGAAGTGATTCCCGCTATGAACTCTGGTAACGGTCGTGACTGATTAAAACAAGTACCGCAAGTATTCACCGAATTTTATTCGTTGAATGGTTACGTGCCACTGTTCCTGACATCATAATGGAAATACGAAACGTGCGTAAAATTGCGAAGATTGAGGAACATGAATATTGCTAACTTCGTCGTTATACCAATTAGTCTTGCAGCATCACTCAACTGAAGTAGTAATAACTGGGCCTTCCTTGATTTCGGGGAAGTGTGTGGCGCTACAGTAGCTATACTAAATTACATGGAGAATCAACTACCGGGTTCGGTTAGTCAATGTGATTCAGATCCAGATTCAGATTCGCTGTTTGAGGATAAAAGTCTGAGCCCACATCAGTCCATTTCCAGGAAATCTCTGTGCTTGTCCACCCCTCTATGGACCAGTCAACTGATGATACGGACACTACTTCTTCCGAGGGTTTATTCCGTACTTGGTTACCGGACGCAAGAACCGGTGCTCTGTGGAGACTATGTTCGTTTTTCTCTTTTGTATTCTCCAGTCATATCCTCTGAAATGCCCCGAACTAGTGGAAAGCAGATTAGGCGATAAGTCAAGTCCAAAGTAATTTCTTACGATCCTGTATGGCCTCTCCCCTATCGACGATTGGCTAACGAGAAGGATTTCAGGTCGATCTTCCTAGGTCAGGATAGCCACCACTGGGATCACACGGGTGACTGCCCTCTGAACTCTTTCCAGATGGTCTTAGTCACTTTTCAGACAAGGATTTGCCACCTGTGTACAGTTTTCTAGTTTCGACCTGACTAAGGATGTGTATAAATCGGCAAACATATAATTACTTATGTTTTCAAACGTTCTGACAATGCCATAATTGTCCTATACTCCGAGTAGGACCAATCGACAGTGTCCTGTAGTTTTCAGGTTATAACTCACCTTGACTCTCAGGTCACTGTGGGTCAGTGCTAAGGGTAAAGAAGTTCCATTAATGATATGGGTGTTAACAGTGTGCGCGTCATGTACCTGCCCAAGTATGTACCCGCATTGATAGGTATCACCCATTTCTATGACCAGGTAAACAACCTGGTTGGTTCTGTATGGCGTGCACGCGTGTCCTTGTCATCCATAAT